TCCAAACAAGAGGACCACTAATTCCTACCTCGGCTGATATTCTCCGCACACTCGTACCTGGATTCTGCTCTACCAGTGCTAGAATTTCTTCTTCTGCTCTAGGAGTGGATACCGACCTTGGTCTTCCGGATAAATGGCACTGTTTGCTCAAGGAACCGGTATCACGCAATCTTTGGTGAATTCTTCCAAACATGCGTTGTGAAGGAATCTGGCGATTTGGATAAGCGTCAACATAAAGACGTCGCGCTTCGGTGGCGTTCCCATTAGCACGACAATACATGAAATGCATGTCTGTTAATTCTGCGTTAGAGTAACCAGCCATAGCGAAAGAAAACTTGTGCACTGAGAACAACTGTCAAATACGTACTATTTATTTCACTAAACATCAACCAACTATTATAAGAATATACACAACGTTTTTGCAAAATAAAAAAAGGGGCTAAAAACATATAAAACATTCCATATCTCCGCAACCGTTACTTTGCGGACCCATGTTTATTGCGACTTTTCTGCTTATTTTGGTTCATACTATTACCTCCTGAAATATTTTACACTCTTTTTTTAACACCCTGTATTTTTTAAAATTTTTTTAAGATCTGGTGGCAATTAGAGGCACGTAGCCATTCTTTTAAATCCATGAACGTACTTTAATGTAACTGATCATCCAGTCGGTTCATTAAAGTGAATTATCGAGCTTTTTACCAAACGAAAATCGTTATTAACTATCCATGAATCCATTTAGCTTATGGCGATATCGAGCTGCCCTCGAATGGAATCGCACAAATCACGGCCCGCTGCGCGCTTTGACGTTCACTTGTTGATTTATCTCTCTTTGTTGCAGAGTGGATATGGCACACGGACCTGGACTTCATCATCATGCACAGGGATCGCATGGTCGTCCTCAGCTTCATGACGGCCAACAATTCGAATTTATCCCCCGCATCCGTCATGCAGGGCAGGGTGGCGCATCCCACGATGAGCTCAGGGAAGCCCAGCGCCATGCCCTTTGTCAGCGGCCCCGCGGTGACCCACACGGTCATAAAGACGCTGAAGGACATCATCGGTCACGAGAATCACACATCGTATCACAACAAAAACATCGGTGAGTGTCGTGTGACAATTAAAAGGTCTTGCTTCGTTGATTTTCCCCTAAGGGGTAGAAAAAGCCACCCTTAAGACTTGTTTCATACGTAACATTTTTCATTCTAAACAAAAAAGGACTCTTTGTATTTTTTTTTGTAAAATTGACGGTTTCTCAGCAAAAAATGTATTTCAAATTACAAGGCATAGGGTCAAAATTTTATCGGACTGTAAATTATCTATTAGGTGGCTAACACGGTGACATTTTGTAGTGGCAAAATAAAGTTTATCTGCTTTAATTAAGGATGTAAGTGTATTTTACCGTAGAAGTGGAAGTTTGAAGGGAAAAAAGCGATTTCGAGTTATAATGCATATTTTATGAGCAAATAAATAGAAATATTACATTTTATTTATTATTATGAGTGAATATTTATAGTAATTGTACAGTTATTACATTTAGTAACATTTATAAAATCTGAATAATTATTCCCCTCCTGTTTACTAATTGTCACATTTTTCTCAAAATGATTTGACCTCTCCATTTCAGTCACCGGAGGCTCAATATTGTCTGACTGATCCATTAAAACAGCATGATGCGACGTATCACTAGAACCTGAAGTTGAAGTGTTATTGTAAATAATCCTGTTGGCTATTTAATTTTTGTTACTTAAACTGTCAGCAACATAACTTTCTGCAATTGTAACTGATTTCCACCCATCATGTCTCTTGATTGCTAATAGGTACATCAATTCCTGTATTAGCCAGTAACGTTGCCGATGTTCTTCGGAATGAATGGCTTGTATATGTTTCAGGATGTTCTAGTTTCAAAAACCGTGCAATTTTATTAGGAATCGTAGTAAGGGTATTCTTGCTGACTGGTTGGTTGTAACATATACCTGCTTGATAGCGCATAAAAAAGCATGAAATTTCAGTTTTAATTTCTAATCTAATCTTGATATATTTTTTTGAGTATTTCTAGGTGAGAAACAGAACCTAGACGAGAGGTAATTGTAAACGTACGTGACATACTTACCATTTTTAAAATCTGGAATTGTAACTACAATAATGTCATCGAAATTTTTGAAATTGACGTCCAATTAACTAAGCCTTTAAATCGAAATTTTGCCAACTTGGCTGAATTTTTGATATGAGTTCGTTTAAGGTATATTATAACAATAAGTGAGAGTAATTTTTTGTTCAACCCCCGGCCAAGGGTGGAAAAAGATAAAACAAAGGGCTTTTTCAAGATAACTCAAAAAGGGTAAGAGCTAGAAAAAAAAGTTTTTCATGAAAGTTGTAAAGCAGACAATTCTACATAAAAATGGCCTCTTAACTTTTTCTTGTACTATTACAATTAACAGAGTTAGGGAGGCTAGAAGTTAAGGGAAGATTTCAGAAATTTAA